AAACCATACATCCATAAAAGATCCTCGAAAAAAGCAGCGAGTCAAATTTTTTTAGCAGAATCTCCCTGTCCGCTCCCCACTTAAAGTGACCAACAAATCTCAACAGTGAGAGGGTTTTCCTGCTCTGGACCTCGACTTAGTCGATGTGTGCCTGCCATCTCAACTTCTCATCAAACAGGAGGCCGAGGAACCTCACCTTCTCCACGTACCTCACAGGTGTGCCCCTCAGACAGAAATGAGGGGGGCTATGGGCCCTCCTCAATCTGCAAAAGTGAACACACACCGTTTTCGAAGTGGAAAAGGTAAACCCGGTTTCCTCGGCTATGGCAGCCACATGGTTTATCGCCGACTGCATCCTACCGCCGACCTCCGCCAGATCCTTACCCGAATGGTAGAAGCAGAGGTCGTCTACAAAGAGCATTTTCTTTATCTGCGGGTGACGCCGTCAGCGTTGTTCTAATTGAATAAACATATATGACAGGTATAATAGTATCTACGTTTACAAAAAATTTAAATTAAATTAAAATTTATTATAAAAGCGATAATATTCTAAAAAGCATTTAAAAATAATAAAATTATTATTGTTACTTGTTAAGTCGTTGCAGAACATTTTGGTTTGCATATCATTGCTGTTTTTGCTTTTTACTTCTCGCCATATTCAGTGGTTGGACGATGTAATAAATAACTTGTTCGTTTTATATTTATTTAAGGTAATAAGATGGGTGAGGCAAGCTTTCTGGCATAGCGCAATCGACTGTCTTTCCGCTTATAAATTAATCTATTTCTAATGGTGTTTTGTTTTAATTCTTAAAGCATTAAAATAAATGATATTTATGAGAAGAGACCATTAACCAACGCTGTTCTAATTGAATTAACATACATGATAGGTATAATTAAGTCGTTTCAGGTCATTTTGGTCTGTTTATCCTTGCTGTTTTTGCTTTTTACTTCTCGACATCTTCATTAGTTGGTCGATGTAATAAATCACTACGTTTATAAAAAAAATTGTATATGAAAAAATAACAATATAAAAAATATATAATAAATAATAAAATTATTTTTAGATTTCTAAAGTCGGTTTTACACCCACTGCTAAAGATGGGAAAACGTCGAAACGTGGATGACAGACCAAACAGGTTTGGTCGGAAGCGGCCAAAATACAGGTTCATCACACCGCATACCTCGAGAAGGAATCTCACTGTTTTTGTTAAGTTTCTTTTTATTATTATTTCGTCACAAATCAGTAATTAATTTTATATTTCTCTACGTTCTACCGTCATAAATAAATAATGGCTTGTACGTTTATTGTTGACGAAAAGGAAAAATTTACACCGATTACCGTTCACGTTTCTACATTTCCAATAAAAATAAATAAATTTACACCCTTTGAAAAGGGGCTAAAATTGCTGACGCAGCTATCTACTGAGGTGGAAAAAAAATAGTTTTTTCCACTCGATTCGAAAAGTTTTGAAACATTATACACGACTGCGACCCCTGAGTGTTTATTTGCTTCGAACGGTTGTAAAAATGCGTTTCTTCACCGCACACCAATGCCGATCCGTCAGGCGCAATTGTCATTATCTAATTCAGAAGCCGTAGGTCGAGAGATGTTGCAAGACTCGGTTACGAGTTTCAAACCAAACACAAAGGACTCCTAACTGGGCTAAGTACAAATGCACGTTTCTGTGTCGACGGTGAAATCTTAATTTTTCTACCTGTCGGACCCCACCGAGCCGACGGTTTGTTTATTGAACGCCTTTCGGGTTACACCTTTTGAATTCCTAATGTTCAAATCATTCCATTCTTGTAATAAATCTAGTATATTTCCTTACCCGATGTCTCACCTGATGATGCAGCCTAAAAAGACATTGATTTATCGAAATTTATTGTCTATGATTTAATAATTTAGATTATATTTGTGAGATTTTATGTTTGCTGTAGTTCGTCCAAAAGTGAATAACTTAAATTTAATTTTTCTCGCGTGATGGACTCTCTCCTAGACCCGGTCGTAGGTCCGATTCCCGCTTGTGCCGCGGCCCTTTTCTCACGTAACTCTTCCCCAAAAATTCTCTCGTAAAAAAAACACTTACCCAAAGATGAATTCCTTTAGACCATATTTACCATTTTAGGCAAACCCAGTTATCGCAAATCCCTTTTTGAATCTAATCTACCTTTTTTAAAAATTGCAAATTAGCCGATTATAACTTTAAAATAACACTTCATAAAAATCCTTATATGTTTAGTTGGTTTAACTTTACATAAACCAACGAAAAAACCTAGGAAATGATAATATCTATATATAAGAATGTAAAGTAAAATTCCGGTATTTGAAAAAAAATTAATATAGAATTAACTTGACTCTTAGAAGACCATATGAAAATTAATTAGGTTTAAAATTAAATAATCTTTGCGAAAGGTATTGGTTGAGATAAAAAAGTCAGTGTCATGAGCGGGATTCGAACCCACGACCTTCGGCTAAATACGCCGCTGCTCTACCACTATCGTCACTTCGATCCTCTCGGACACCAACTCTCCATCTGAACCTACGACCGTTCGAATTTTCCCTCCTTTTTGCTATTTTTCAACTTTTTATCTCAACCAATACCTTTCATAAAGATTAATTAATTGAAAAAAGTTAATTGGTCAATCGGACCACGAATTAATGGATTTAAAATTAAAGATGATATATGAAATCTAAAAATAATTTTTTTTTTAATTTGAGTAAAAAAATGAGTTTGGTTAAACAATAGATATAAGTGTTTTTAAAAAGATAGTTCCTACACACAGCAAACTGTTTTCACCATCCAAATTTCGAGCTTATACCTCATCATCAGGTTGAAGGAGTTCTCTGGACATGAATTGCAAGACTTCGATTAGATTGAGTCTTGCAATTCATGTCGAGATATGTTGTTGTAGAACTCCTTCAAGCTGATGATGAGTTGTAGGCTCGAAATCCGAATCGTTGAAAACAACCTACTGTGAGTAGGAACTATCTTTTTAAAAAGATTGAACAACACACTCACTCCACCATTTATCTTTTCTAATANTTATTTTATTTAATGTGGTATAATTTTAAATTTTAATTGAGATAACGCTATCGTTTGTTATAGAAGCCCAATTATTTTATGTTTAAAAAAATCTAAAATTAAAAGAAAAATCCATCCTTTAACTAACTTTAATTTTATATTTAAAAAAATTCATAAGTTAAAAAAATAATCCTTTATTGTTATATTTCACTTTATATAATTGCTTAAATTATAATTGAAATTAAATAGCGCATGGTTTTCTAAGAGAGCAAATAATATGTATTTAAAAAATTCTGTAATACACAGGAATTTTACGTTACATACCATATATATATGTATATATTTCATATTATCCTCTGCGTTTTATTTAACATTTTCAAGAATTGGTTAATTTGAGGTTAGGATGACTCAATTTAACGTTGAAAAAATAAATTTGAAGTTAAAAATAGTTAATTTGAGGTTAAAAAGGATTAATTTGAAATTAAGAAGGATTAATTTGAAGTTAAAATGCGTTAGTTTGATATTTTAAAAAATCATTTGAAATTAAAAATGGTTAATTTTAAATTAAAAAAATAGAAGTAAAAAGTGTTAATTTTAAATTAAAAAAGATAAAATTGAGTTAAAAGGGTTATTTGAAAAAAGGTACAACTGAAATAGCTTACCAGCTACTCAAATAAGATTATTCCTTTCCGATATCCGTTCGGACGCGGTTACCCATCGTAAATCCCTTTTGTAATCGTGTCAAAAGGCTAATTTATCGAGTTACCACGATATTTGTGTTTTGGCCGCCGGACCAAACGCATGTGGACAATGAGTCGGGTGGCCAAAATAGTACCCATTGTTAAGATGGCGTGCCATGTTTTTCCAAGGGTATGGGATATGGGACGAGACCAATTGGACCATTGCCTCTGGATCTGAATTATATAATTTATATGTAGATAAAATACAGGGCGTCAATATGCTAGTGTTTTCTCGTTTTATCAAATAATACTCAAACTATAAAAAAGAGAAACTTTTTTTAGCACAAGCACTACTGTTTTTCTCCTCAAACCTGTGGTGACTACTGCCTTTGGTAAGGTTTTTTTTAAATATTAACCTAGTTCAATTAATTGCACACAATTTTTTCGAAATGAAAAATTTGTGTCACAGGCGGGATTCGAACCTACGACTTTCGCTAAACATGCCCGGTGAAGACACGGTAGTTCAAGTTGTAGAGCAGCGGCGTGTTTAGCCGAACATCGTGGGTTCGAATCCCGCATGTGACACAAATTTTTCATTTGAAAATTTTTTGTATAATTAATTGAGTAATTGTATAATAAAGCATAAGTTGATAAAAGTAATTAAAAAGTTAGTATTAACCAAGCTGTTTGATAACTTACGAAAGTAAAATATCTTAAATAAAGGTTTTATTGGCTTTTACTTTTATTTATTTATCTATTGATACCATTTTTGTTATATTACTACTTCTCTATTACGATTTGTTACTATACAATAAAAACATTAATAAAACTCGTCTGAGTAATGAAAAATAACTTCAAGGAATAATTGTTATTATTCACCTAGCGAGGAAAATAAACAGATTTTCAAAAGCTATAGTGCAAAAGCAAACTCCTGGTAACAGCTGTATCAGCCATTTTTCAAGCTTAATTATGGTCAAACAAATTTTGCTCAAGTAACATTTGTTTTGTAAATAAACTGATTGTTTATTCTGAAATATTAATAAATATTCAAATGTTTGTACGTATTTCTTTGATTCTACCGAATTTTAATTAAAACTAACAGCAAATTCATTATTTGGGCTGGGAAAATAGTAGCTGAAGTTAGAGCAATGAGCCAGGGAAGAAGTAAAACATGAGCAAAAAATTAACATAGCAAATTAACAGAGTAAAAAATCTTCTTGAAATAATATTCAAACTTTAAGAAATACATAAAACTTACAACAGTGAATATTACTGCATGGATAGTTTTGCTTACCTGTTCCCCTACTCTCTTCAATGTCGAAGATAAGACTAGGTTGCCCATTTTCAGTCTCACACAGTCCTGGAAATGAACGAAAATATTTTATTAAATTGTACACTTTTTAAATTTGATTTTTATAAGATCTACCGACTATGCTGTGGGGGTGCAAGCAATAGTGTACTTGTATTGTACATATAAACAAAATAAAGAATAAGAACTAAAAAGTGGAGAAGCTACTCATTGAAAAAAAAAAAAATGATTAGAAGCAGTGTGTGGTGTTTAGTGACGTTAGTTACTGATTATTTGAAGATCGTGAGATACGGTCTGGTGTGACGTAAGTTTTAGAAAAACATTTTCTTTATCGTGCCAACGTTTCGATCTTTATTGAGATCATCTTCAGGGCTCAAAGTGTTTGTTTTCCGTGTAGATGTGTCATTCTTTTCTGTCATGTTGAGAGTGCCAAGAATGAGACATCTACACGGAAAACAAACACTTTGAGCCCTGAAGATGATCTCAATAAAGATCGAAACGTTGGCACGAAAAAGAATATGTTTTTCTAAAATCTACGTCACACCAGACCGTATCTCACGATCTTCAAATAATCATTAGAAGGAATATTTAAAGAAAAACATGTTATTGCGTGTTGAGCATCTTGCATGGATTTTTTAATGGATGATTCTTATAATTATTGGTATTCGACAAACCGGCGATAAATAACGTTGAAGAATCGACTCCATTGACTGTTTAACCCATTAAAATGAAATGAAAGTAAAAATTGTACTAAGTAATTATAAATGAACTTGAAGAATGATTATGGATTAAAAGATGTCTGTTTTGGGTTTTTTTCAGTGTCCTCTATTCGAGGATTGGTGAATATAGCAATCAATGAAAACCGGTCCGAGAATCGGTTCAAAATCGGGCCTTCTTTTTCGAAACGACTGTAGTTCAAACATAATTAATTTTACGAAGTTTGATTCGTTGTCGTGGGAACAATTAAGAACAGGACGGATAACGTATGGGCACCATTGAGGAGGCGTGATGAAAAGGCGTCTCACGAGGAAAGAAAGAAGGTCAAATATTTTCACGCTCGACGAGCCGCGTGGGGTTTTTCGCTAAATGGCCGAGCCCGACGGCTGAGAAACGTATTAGTGCAATAATGTACCGGGTCATCTGGTCTCTATCCCATCCGGAAGGAAAAGTTCGAAAGTCCGTTCACGTCTGACGAATATTACAAAACGGGTTCTGAAACGGATCATCGAAACCAGACGAAAATCGCAGTACATACAACACACTGAACGTCATGCGTATGTATGCAAATGAAATAAAACAACAATTAACAAAAAACTTATTTATGCATGTTTGAAGGTTTTTCACTTAGAAACATACTCTCAAATTATAAGGACAAGTTAAATCCATTATATTTCGTGGTCCGATTGAGCAAATTACTTCTTTCAAATAATTAATCTTTTTATGTAAGATCAATATCAATATCTCACTGGCATTCTCAACACGACACACAAGAATGACACATCTGCACAGAAAACAAACATTTTGAGTAAGTACAGATACATTAATTGAATTTACAATTTCCGGCATTGTATAAATTCATTTTTTTCCATATCCTAGAGTATTTGTAAAATTTGAACAATGTTTATAAATCCCAGGCACTGAAGTTGATCTCCAAATAATCGTTGGTTCACGGTCACTAAACACCACACATTTTTGTGTAAGATTTTTGGTTGGAATGAAAAAGTTAGTGTCACGAGCGGGATTCGAACCCACGACCTTCGGCTAAATACGCCGCCGATCTACCACTTTTTTAATTTTTCTAAAGATTGTCATATGTAGGTAGGAACTGGGTTTACTGGAAAAATTCGTATTTTCGGTGGAGCTAGGTGACCGAGTGGTTGGCGTTCTGGGTTCGAATCCTTGTATAGCCCATGGAATTTTAATAGAATGGTTCGGAAAAAAAGTATTGTAAATGTTTCTGGTTCATCGTCCGCGACACTCTGTGGGTACTTGGTCGTTGAACAGTCCTGTATGGCAGGAATTTCTTTACTTTTATACTCTTGGATAATGAAACGCGTTAGGAGAATATGAGATACTCACAGAAAGACAGAAGGTAGCTTAGGTATGTTGAAAAATAATTAATGAACTCATCTGTAGTAAAATAGCGGACAGTGCAGGACTACTCGAGTGGATTGCCAGAGTTAATACCAGGGAAAAAATTGTGTCTTGTCTGGGTCCCAGGGTCATTGTTAGATATGATAAATATCGATTTTTGTTTTACATTGAGCCATATCAGTTGTAATTAATTAAGGTTTTTATTTGAGATAAAAAAGTTAATGGCACGAGCGGGATTCGAACCCACGATCTTCGGCTTGATACGCCGCTGCTTTACCACTTGAGCTATCGTGACCTCGATCCACTCGGACACTAACTTCCCATCTCAACCCTACCTTTTGAATTTTCCCTCCTTTTGGCCATTTTTCAAATGTCGTGTAATCGGATTGGATTCTCGACGATAAATGAAATGGCCACGGAGAGCTTTAGTGAAGTATACTTCATTCCAAATCATTAAATTCACTAATTCCATCCGATAATATAATTCACATCCACCCCTTTATCACTGTCCGCTACCTTAGAGGACCCTAAAGTCTAAATTTTAACAATTTGTGGGATTTTTTTAAGGCATCGCCCTTTGGGACTAGAAATGTAAATTAGTTTTTTTAATGGGATTTTCATACGGGATTTGCGGGTGGTTAACAGCATGGATAGAAAGGCCAAAATGTTAGGAAATTTTTGGAAACTTCAAACTTCTCAGTGGCTTTCACAATTTAGCTGCAGCGGATGCACGTTGATTTATCCGAGATTATTATAAGATTCATCGTTAGGAAACTAGTAAAACTGACGAACCCAGTGAAGAAGTAACAAGTCTGCACACAGGTCTATTGATAGTCTTCGAGAAAGTTCTGTCAAGCCCATAAACCGTTTAATTCTTCAGTGTGTATTAAACATGAAATTATAACTGATATGTCCACTAATTTCGTGGTCCGCTTGACCAATTAATATATTATAATTAATTAAGGTTTTTTGCGAGATAAAAAATTATCTTGCATCTTATTGTGGAGACTTGTTCCATCTTCACTGAGTTCATCAGATTTTACTAGTTTCCTAACGACGAATTTTATAATAATCTCGGATAAATCAACTTGCATCCGCTGCAGCTACATTGTGAAAGTCACTCAGAAGTTTGAAGTTTCCAAAAATTTCCTAACATTTTGGACTTCCTATCCGTGCTGTTAACCACCCGCAAATCCCGTAAAGAAATCCCACAAAAAAACTAATTTACTTACATTTCTAGTCCCAAAGGACGATGCCTTAAAAAAATCCCACAAATTGTTAAAATTTAGACTTTAGGGTACTCTAAGGCAGCGGACAGTGATAAAGGGGTGGATGTGAATTATATTATCGGAGGGTTTCTCTGTGGTAAATAAGCCGTATCGGATATTTACGACGTTTGGTGAGCCGTCGCAGAGGAGGTTGCTTTATTTAAATCGGCTTGTATTTAAGTACTTAACTTCTTGTTCTGGTACTTGGTCTCTGTAGCGCTCCTTGTTGTAGGGGGCCGTAATTCATTATTAAGTACGCTAAACGACTTCAAGTATGACAAACGTGCACTGTTTAAACCGGTCCAACACGCATCTCAAATTTTCTTTACATATAACAAAAAAAAATGTAAAATGCAGTTTGTATGCAGTTCTTAAAAAAAGGTAAAATATTTTAGTTTATATTGATGCGAAATAAAATGTTGTGTTTATTTATGCTATTTCTAAGTGAGACTTGACAAGAAAACCATTTTTATTTAAACGAGCATTCTCATAAAGCGAATAATTTACAGAATTTTAGTTAACATTTCAAGTCGTTTACATTATTTAGTCATGTACAGTGGCGGAAACAAAGTTTTTAGACGGACCGTCAAAGGGAGCACTCTTGTCATTATTACATTAACGTCCGATGGAGCCTCTTTCCAGGTTTGCCCACAATTTGCCTTAAATATATCATTAATGTCAGTATCCCTTTACAGTCGTGTAGCACTGAGGCGAATTTATTAATTATCGGATAAATTTTAGAACTCATTTGCAAAACAACCATGGTAAAAAGGTTAAAATGGATATTGCCAGTGCAAACGTTTTGACGTCAAAAAACTTAAAGTATGGATAAAAGGATATTAAAGGTTTGGTCTTTCAAACGCATTTTGTGTTTTCACCATCGTCAACGGCGGGCCAGGGCTGTAAGAAAACCGAGGCAACGATTCTCCCCTTTTTTGCGCAATTTCTCCGTTTGCCAACAGAAAGATGAAACTATAATTTTGTCATTTTGGTCCGCTTATCCTCGTTGGGTTGGTTACGAAATCACACCTCCCATTTTTTTTTCAAATTTCGAAACGATAAACAAACTTGACTTGAATACAAACTCTGTCCATAGAAATAATAGTAATGATAGTAACAAGAATTACGCAACTAATGAACATCCCTAGATTGTCAGAAAAGATCGGCCGACCGAAAAATGTAACGAACGAATTACACCTACATTTTTGCTAATTTCAACCACTAACGTTAAATTAACTCAACTTTCGTCAGCAGAACTTGCACACACTCCTCCCAGCTTACACGAAGTTGTAGAAGAGACCCGCTTATACAATTAAACAAGAATAACAGAAACTATTAATACGACGACATACTAAAATGGGCTTAACAGACCAAGCAGCGTTGACACACAGCCCAAAATAGTACAAAGTTTCCCAATTATCCTGGAAATTCAATTTAGTTTTTTCATCCAGATTACTATTATTATTATTCAGAAATCGTGAGATGCGGTCTGGTGTGATGTAGGTTTCAGAAAAACATTTTCTTTATCGTGTCAACGTTTCGATCTTTATTGAGATCATCTTCAGGGCTCAAAGTGTTTGTTTTCTGTGTAGATGTGTCATTCTTGTATGTCCTGTTGAGAGTGCAATCTCAGTCAAATAAACACTTTGAGCCCAGAAGATGATCTCAATAAAGATCGAAACGTTGGCA